GAGAGGCAGCGGGAAGGGAAGGCATGGCTGAGGGAAACAGTGAAGAAGGGCGGAAGGAAGGCGGAATGGCTGAGGGGAGCCGGGCGGGATCTCTCTGAGCGCCCCGCTCCGGTTCCGCCCCTGAGGACTTCACTCCCTCCAGGGAATTACTACAGCATCCAACAACTGCCGACGCACTATTTATTACTTGGTCGTATAAATTCAGTTTATTTCAGCGTTTAACAGAAGACAAAGCCCTCAGTAAAAACTCATTTTTCAACATACACATGCTCACGCTGGTGTGTCCCCTATAGGATATCATCACCCATCACCTTTTTTCTCATGAGAAAGGGACAGAGATAATTCAACACTTTACACTGATCCCAAGCTAATTTTTTTTTTCACTTATTAGCTACAAATATAAAAGTTTATTTTGTTAAGGACAGGCTGCTTATATCTCCAAGGAAGGAATCAGCAGAATCTCTGTTGCTTTTCCACAATTCCCTGACACATAAAAGCTCACAGCTCCCTCTTTATCCCCAAAATCCTGAAGAGCTTATAACATACAAACGAGTTGAAGGACTGTGTTAAAGCAGGAATGCAATCCAGTCTGTGTCCAACGGAATTAAGGAGAACAGAAAATGCAAAAGCAGCACTAGGGCAGGTTATTGAAACTGCTTTGTAAAAGAATACATCTTAATATTTTAGCAGAGAAGCGTGGTCAGGGTGGAAATGTGGCACTAATTCCGCCAGGCAAACCACAGAAAAAGGAGGAAGAAAATGTTCGAAAGCCCTGCTTCATAAGGAATTTTTAATGTCAATAATTAAGAGATTAAAAACAAACCAAAGAGAGAGTTCTGAGCCCAAAACCTGGGGTTTTTCATGTTTGCTAGCTGCTCCAAACAACCACACAAATGCCTGTTCTAGACTTGAAGCGTGGGGTTGTCTTGCGCTAACAACCTCTGCAGTAAACAGAATTATAATGTATGACATAAGAAAAGGGGAAAAACCCTGAAACTGCACAATCCGATACAGAAAAAAAAAAACATAGTACAGATCCCCATGCCTATGAAGAGTATATAAACCTGGCACTCAGAAGTTTCTTTTGTTGTTTAAACCACACCATGGGAATGATGTGACATTTGTGCAGGCAGCTGAAACCCCTCCTGTGGTCTCCACCAGTTTATTGATTAAAAGATAAAGTTTCTGCTGCATGTTTTTGGGGCAGAGGAAAAAAGGTCAGAAGAAAGTTTCTTTCTGGAGCCTACTACACCACCCAGTGCTACCCGTAGTCACAGGTCCAAACTTAGCATAACGTTTCAGAAAGCTGTGGTATGATCACAAATCAGTTTCATCATCAGGAAGCAAGAATGTTCTTTTCAGTTTATTAAGCAAACACCACTTAGTAAAGAGGCTGATATCCACTTTCTTCTTTCTTGCAAGTAAGCACACAGATGCTCAGCATGCCGAAGAACTGGAAAAGAGGGAGTGCACAAGGGACTTAGTCCTGCTGTGTTTCTGTTTCAGTTGTCAGATTAAACACCTACACAGTGGATGACTTCACCGTATGAAAAAAAAAACTAATTTAAAAATACATCTACAGAAAGTGTTATTTTTGCATACCAATTCCCAGTAATAGATCTGTCTGGAGTGCTTCCTCTCTGGTTTGTTCCATTAATTAATACAGTCTCATTAATTACTAGCTATCTCGCCATGGGGAAAATTTCAGTGAAAGGCTAGGATTGTTCTGGGATAAAATGAGTTCTCCAAACTATTTAAGCACATTTTTGGACAAGGAGTGACAGGAGTGGCTTCCCACCAGGAAGGGCAGGGATGGATGGGATATTTGGAAGGAATTGCTGGCTGGGAGGGTGGGCAGGCCCTGGCACAGGGTGCCCAGAGCAGCTGTGGCTGCCCCTGGATCCCTGGCAGTGTCCAAGGCCAGACTGGATGGGGCTTGGAGGAGGTGGAAGGTGTCCCTGCCCATGGTGGGGGGTGGGACTGGATGGGCTTTAAGGTCCCTTAAGAACTAAACGATCCTGGGATTCTGTGACTATGATAAAATGGATTCCACACTGAATTTCCAGCCCAAATCCCCTACTGTCTTTCGAATCCCTCCCATCATTGTGAGGCAGATGAAACAGAGACAGCTGGAAAAATACCAGCGAGGAACATAGGACTGAGTCTATTTCAGAGGCAGAAGAAAGCTGTAGGGCTGTTGGGATAATGAAGATGAAAAAGACCC